TTAACTAAATAGATAGCTGTAGAGAGGTTTGGAGAAAAGATGAGTTCTTTAATTTTTATGATGCTGCCATCTAGTGAAACTTCTGTAGAATCACTTTGTGTACTATTCAACTTTATATCATCTGGTCTTTTAACCACAGTGGTTATATTTTAATAATTTATGTTTTATGCTATCTATGGGGAAATAATTGTACATGCATTGAAACATGTTGTAAGAACATGAGTGTTGTTATTGTTTTTTTTTAATGTGGTGCCACAGATGTGACCACAAGGCTTTTAATAATGGGATAAAGTAGGTGAAGTTTTTTGGTTTCTTCACTGTGCATCTTCTTTATAAATAATTGATAATAAAGTGCTAAGTTTTTTGATCCCTGAGGTTTCCAAGAAAATTAAGTTGTAAAATCGTATCTATGAAAAGTTGAGTTTTAAAAAAATGTAAGCCTGCAAACCCAGGTTTTGATAAACTCTAAATTTTGATAGAAATTAATTGTATTTTTTTTCTATCACTTCTAAATCTTATGTTAACACGGAGCGCCTGTTGTATTTTTGTGATATGTGTTGCTTCTTTTTTTGTGAGAAACAAAGCCCAAATACACCTCCTCCCCAAATTAGTTATATTTTACCAGAAAAACTTTTTCTGAGATGCAGGTTTTATCCACAGGGCTTCTAATTAACTGATTCTTCAATATAGTGAGTGTTGTTTTTAATAGAAACTATGCTCTAAGGAAACGGTCAGAAAACTTTTTCTCCAACAAGTGGGATAGTAAATAGTTTAGAATTTGTCAGCCTTATGGTCTCTGTTTCAGCTATTCATTTCACCTGCAGGAGCAACCATAGACAATATTTAAACAAATGAGAAGGTTAACTTTATTTATTAAGAACAGGTCGTGGCCTAACTGGTTTGGCTCAGTGGATAGAGCGTCTGACCTTCGGACTGAAAGGTCCTGGGTTTGATTCCGGTCAAGGGCATGTACCTTGGTTGCGGGCACATCCCCAGTAGGTGGTGTGCAGGAGCCAGATGATTAATGTTTCTCTCTTATCGATGTTTCTAACTCTCTAGCCCTCTCCCTTCCTCTCTGTAAAAAAAAAAAAACAACAATAAAATATGTTTTTAAGAAAACAGGTCATAGTTTGCATCCTCTCTTTTAGAGAAGGTACCCATAATAGCAGTTTGGGTTTATTTATTCTAAAGAGGTGTTAGAACAATCTAAAATTGGCCCCTCTGCAATTATTTCCTTTAAAAACCTCAATTGATAGATGTTTCTTCAAAGTGGAAGAAAATTTAAGGTTTTGAGAATGTAGTATTATCTGTGCATATAGTAAACAATAGAAGAACTGAGAGGTAAAACATTCTGCAAAGTGAACTATCAGCCTTCCCCCCATTTTATGATTAGTTGTTGTTGTTGTTGTTGTTGTTGTTTTTAAATTAATGTTCAGATAAAAAACTGTCTTACTGTGGAATGAATCACTGTATTCTCTAAGTAAAACTTATGCTGATATATAGAAAGCTAAGTAGTTTTGATGGTTGGCCATTAAATTAGAAAGTTACTACTTAGGTACAGTTTGGATGATATAAATTCACTAGTCCAGATTGTCCTTTTGGAAATATTTGTTTCTAAAACACTGAATTTTACCAGGCAAAACACTTGAAACCATACAAGTAAATAAGTCAGAATAGACTCAGGTAATAAGGAGCTGTTAAAGATTCCAGTCAATGTAAAGGTAGAACACAGCATAGAGTAAAAAAACATCATTATTTTATGGGCTGTGTGTAAGGGAACACAATACCCTCTACCATCAAAGTTCCTTTAGCTGGATTAATAATCAAATAGACATGAGACAATTTAGCAAGATAAAACCAAATTAGAGACACATGCAGAGTTGGCTTAGAGATAGAAAGGGAACATGGGTATATAAGACATTCTGGCCTAGTGATGAGGTAAGGCCCCTGGGAAGTGTCAAAGGATCATTGCAGGATGACAAGAAGAACAGATGTTTAGTAAATAGAAGTTTGCCCTGCCCTACAGATAAGCCAAATGAAGTTATCTCTGATAATCTCTTATTATGGCCAAAGTTCCTAATTCCAGTTGTTTTTTAGGTAGGTAAAGGGAGGGGCAGCCAAAACCTTTTTGGCTCAATGGATAGAGCGTCTGACCTTCGGACTGAAAGGTCCTGGGTTCGATTCTGGTCAAGGTCATGTACCTTGGTTTCGGGCACATCCTCAGCAGGGGGTGTGCAGGAGGCAGCTTATCGATGTATTTTTCTCATCAATGTTTCTAACTATCTCTCTCCCTTCCTTTCTGCAAAAAATCGATAAAATATATTTTTTTAAAAAGGGGGGGGGGGCAGAAGTTTCTCTTGAGCCTGCCTCTAAAGTTGCCTCAAAGTCACCTGCAGATCTTGGAATGACTGGCTCTCAGCCCCCACAGTCACCTTTGTGTCAGCTGATGGGGGCAGGACTTGGCTTTAGGAATCCTTTTAGTCTCAGCTGAGCTCATGCAGATATCTCTAGCTCAATAAAGGAGACTGGGGAGACCAGCAGAACCAAGATGAGCTCATTAAGGTCAATTCTGATGAGTGTTTTTCCATCTTCCACCTGGCCCAGCAGATTGGCCAAGCTAGTCCTTCTCACAGAGTTGGCAGAAGGCAAGAGTGCTTTAAGAATTCTACTTGTATTCCATGTGCTAACGTCCCACCAGTCAAAACAATTCACCTGGCACATCCAAGTGACAGAGAACTGAAGCCCACCCACAGTGGAAGGAACTGAAAAATCACATGGCAAAGGACAAGAAGGCACAAAGAATCAGAACTGTTAAGGCAATTTATCACAACATGTAAACACTTGAATTGATTAAATTATGTGTGGGCAGACATGGGATTAAGTGATAAACTAAAAAATGTCCATTGATGTCCTCAGTTTAGTAGGATACACTCCAGCAATAGATCTATAAAAGGTTTTTATGCTATGTTTAGATCTCTTTACATTTATTGTATTTGTAATTAAGACAATTTAAAAATATATTAACAAACCCATTACATGTTAACACAAATTATATATGGTTAAGGGAAAAAAAAACTATAGTTTCTGAAATAAGCAAAAGAATGTTTTACATTTGGCAAATTGCTTTACTGTTTGGTTTAATAGAAGACAGCTTTTTTTGTGTGTGTGTAATTTGCTTCTGCATTCAATTTTTGTTTTTTTCTTTGTAAAGAATACAAAAAAAATTGTTCAGACCAGACATATAGTCAGAAAAAGCAGAAGTAGTTTAATTGTGAATATTTGTTGATACTGCACCTGATTTTGACAAGTGAGAACTTCTTGGGAGTTGTAGTGCAGAACACAAAACAAAATTACTGAACTGTCTGTACTTTGTTACTGTGAAATTCATTGGTTGATTTTGCATTCTGAATGGACTATTTATCCATGATATGTAATATCAAGATTGGTCATTTGGTTCACTGAGCTGTGAATATTTTCACTGAGCTATGGATATTTTCCAATTACTTACATATTTCACTATGTATTATTTTAAAACTATATGTCACTATTAAGCTCAGGAGAAATATCTTTAAATACTGGGGGAGGGAGGGGTCATATTCATAGAAGTGAATATACGTTATTTAAAATTTTAATTTCTCGCCGAAACCGGTTTGGCTCAGTGGTAGAGCATCGGTCTGCGGACTGAAAGGTCCCAGGTTCGATTCCGGTCAGGGGCATGTACTTTGGTTTTGGGCACATCCCCAGTAGGGGGTGTGCAAGAGGCAGCTGGTCGATGATTCTCTCTCATCGATGTTTCTAGCTCTCTATCTCTCTCCCTTCCTCTCTGTAAAAAATCAATAAAATATATATTAAAAAAATTTTTTTAATTTCTCTTAGAAAGTACTTTAAAAAATACAAACAAATATTGTGTTTTCCTTGAATTGACAAATTCATACAATTTCTACTATTGTCCATCAGTTTCTCTTCCATGGGTGGGGAGTGAGGTCCTTCATCAAGTAAAAGTGTTCAGATTGCAACTCAAATAATCACATGTGTGAATTACTTTGAGACAACAATCTACTTCAGAATGTGGTCAAAAATTTTGTGTACTTCCCATATTAAACCATCCAATATGAAAATTTAGGTTTTGAGGTTTAATACAAATTCATCATTTTTACAGATTTATGCAGGATATTTTAAATAGAATAACCTTTCTCCCCCACCCTGTAACTGGATGGCTTTGATATGCATTGACAACCAGTACAGTCTGGGGCCCCTGCCTTGATTTTATACTAAGGTGCCAGCAGTTTTGCCCATCACTGCTTTTGCATTATCATTGCAAATATCAACACAGTGGAGAAGGTAAAGAATGTCTTGCTGTTATGAAAATTGTTCTGACATAAAAGCATTTTGGGAATGCCCAGGATTTTGTGATTCACTCTTAGTGAGCCACTGCTCCAAAGGATGAACCAAATTTCTGTTACCGTATTTTCCGGCATATAAGACGACTTTTGAAATGAAAAAAAATCAACCGAAAATCTGGGGCAAAAGATCAAAATTGCACAAAAATTACCTGCAGATCTTGAAGGCAAAGTAAGTCTTTTCTTTGAAGTGGGGGGTAGTCTTATACAGTGAATATAGGCCTAAACCTACGTTTTAATTGTAAAATTAGGGGTCGTCTTATACGCCGGAAAATACGGGTATATTAGCTTGTCGAAGATTTTCTTTTTTCTTTTCTTTTTTTAAAATTTTCATCTAAGAACAATCTCTCATTGTCCCTTTTGATTTTATTTTTAATTGTATTGTTTAAAGTATTACATATGTCTCCTTTTTCCCAGCCATTCCCACCCCCCACCACATGCTCTTACCCCCCCTACTGTTTGTGTCCTTGGGTTATATTTATATGCATGCATACAAGTCCTTTGGTTGATTTCTTTGTCAAAGATTTTCTTAAAGATATGTGTATTTACTATTTCTAATCATTAAGCAAATTTAAAACTTGTTATTATGTTCTCCTCCAGGGTTGTTTTGTTGGCTTTGATCTAGCGCATGCAGTTGGAAATGTTGAACTCCGCTTACATGACTGGGGAGTTGACTTTGCCTGCTGGTGCTCCTATAAGGTACAAACTAGTTACTATATTTACATCCTTTTATTCCCCATTAACATCAACCTAATAAAAACACTGGAAAGTTGACCAATTTTAGCTATTTGAATTACTTTTCTCCATTTAAGTAGTATATTTTCTGATTTTAGTTAATTATAGAATTGTCCAATCTGATAGTGTGATAATTAAATTCTGGTGTTTCCATCTACTATAGAGTACTTATTCCTTCAATTTCCTGGCTGCTATAAAAAGTGAGAAGATTATGGGGAAAATAACAACACCTCACACTTTAAAATTAATTCAAATTAATTAAGTTTTTAGTGTTGGGTTTTTTTAAATATGTTGTGAAATTTCTACTTGTATAAAATAATTCTTATGGAATAAAGTTGCATTTGCTATTTGAAGATAATTTAATTAACAGGGAGCTAAGAAATGAAACCAATTTTTATCGAGGTGTTTTTAAAATATACTTTTATTATTACTTAAATATTTTGTGACAAAATAATTGAAACTAATGAGCTTTGAAATTAGATTGACTTCAGTGGAACTGTTATCTATTAATTGGGGCAAAATTTTGTCAAAAAAGTAATAGCTATTTATTCTCATTTAACACTTCCATGTTTTATTTGTTTTTCTTTGAACAAGATGACTCAAAATTAATTTTATTATGAATGTTCAAATAATCACATATATTGAACTGGTCAAAAGTTGGTTTCTTAACAACAACAACAAAATAAGATTACATTGTTAATCTTTGTCATATATTCAGGTAAACCCATATAATTTAATTCATTTTCAATCCAGTATTTAAATTCAGGAGCTGGAGGTCTCGCTGGTGCCTTTGTCCATGAAAAGCATGCCCATACAATTAAACCTGCGTGAGTACCATCTTTAGATTCTTCTTTGGTGATAAATACATTGATTTGCATTAATAATTTGTTAAATTTACATAAATTCTTTAAGATGCTATCCATTAAGAAGCTGGATTGATTACAATCATTTGACTACTGTATTAACAATGATGTGCTTTATGAGAAATAAATGCTTCCCAAAGAACTCAATTGGTTGAACAAGAAATGTAATCACAAAAAGAGAGCTTCAGTGCTAACGGTGAGTCACTGTAATCATGTAGAGCAGATGGTTTAATGCAAAGAGACTACTTCATCTTTTTCCCCAAAATTAGACTTCAGAAAAGTTCTGATTTCTCACATTGAAAAATAAATCAAAGGCAACAAGAGATGTGCAAAATAGAGCCTTAAATGTGGTGTTTTATTACTAAAATCACATCTACCTCTAAAGCCAGAACATAATATGATGATCTTATAAGAAATGTCTTCTGTCCTAAAAGATTTTATCACCCATGAAAAATGAAGAAGCTGAGCACTAGACAACAGACTGCCGACTTAAAAAGCAGTGCTTTTTAAAAATTTTTATATAACTTACTTCATTTTTTTCAGAGCAAGTGTAAATGCAAATGTGATACACTAACACATAGACACATTTTTATTTGACTAAGGAACTCACCGTGTTTCTCTTACTTTTATCTGGTATACAGATGAATAAATAATATTCTTGGAGATTAAAAAAAAAAAAAAGCCCACACCTTTCACAGTTGTATCAGAGTATGTGTGATTAGGAGAATGGCTCTAGTAACATAAGTAATACAATGATATTTGATTAGTTTTTTTTTAATCTTCCCAGTCACTGACTGTTAAAATCTTTTTAAGAATTGAAGTTGAATTAGTAATAAAGGTTGGAGCACCTCATATTTCTGAGGTTCTATGTATATGAATTCTAGAAATTTAAGATATTTCCTATAGTTCATTTAATCATGTATAAATTTCTTCAAGATTTTAAAGTTTTAAAATTAAATAGAGTTTCTCTAGACAGGTATTTTTCAGGCAGACTTCTTCTAATGATTGTCAGTACATTAGATTTCTCCCCGTGTCCTAAATTCTCTGAAAAGAATATAAGCCATATATTATAAGAATATCATATAATAAAAGGCTAATGTGCAAATCAACCAAACCGCTAAGACAACCAGTCGCCATAATGTGCAGTGACTACCAGGAATCAGACGCTTAATGTAGGAGCTGCCCTCTGGTGGTCAGTGTGCTCCCATAGGGAGAGTGCTGAGCCCAACAGCAGTAGCAGGAGCCTTTCCCGCCTGAGGCAGTGCTAAAGAATATCCAACTGATGGCAGGAAGTGGGCCTAAGCCATCCATCAGACATCTCCCAAAGGCTCCCAGATTGCAAGAGGGTGCAGGCCAAGCTAAGGGACACCCCCCCCCACCGCCCCCGAGTGCACGATTTCCATGTACAGGCCTCTGGTGCATAGTATTAAAAGCCTCTTTTCAATTTTAGTAGACTTCATGAGTTACATTTTATCTAGCATACTTCTTTTCTGGTATATAATGTACTGCTGGCTTTTGTGTGAAGATCCATCACTCTGAACATTTTCTATTCTCCACTTATTTTAATTGCAATAGAGGATCTGACATATATAATCCCAAAGAGCAATCAGGTGGGAGTGGCAGTGTGTCTCAAGTTGTAGAATCCCAACATTCTCTAGTTGCTGGAATGGCTAAGTCCATGCTCCCAGGAGAAAGACCATACGGGGCAAGCCAGATTCATATGCTAGTATGACCACTTGTGAGTCCATGACCTGCAGAATGGTCCTTGACATTCTGTTCTAGTTTCAAACTAAAGTCAAACAGTGTCAGCATCTACCTCAAATTGCTGTAAGAATAAAACGGGATGATGCCTGTGAAGCACTAAGCACAGCCACTTGAGCATTGCATGTGATCCACACATGTAGGCTAAGAACTTGCATTTTTAACTGGTAGATTTTTCTGTAGCAAAGATCAGTTCTCTCAAGCACAAAACATAACCCCAAGCAAGCATCACGTTTTCTGACCTTTAGGACGTTATATAGTTTTGTGTCTAAGTAAGACCATGTTCATTTTCACAGGTCTTTGATAGCCTCACTGTGTAAGTTTCCATTTCTTGATTCCCTCTTGTATCTTACTTATTTCTTCAACAGTGAGTTGAATGAGATATTTATGTGTGTTTATTTTATATTTGTAGGAGAGTAACGCTTTTAACTTTTTTGAAAATTATTAACTATCGTTGCATTTCAACTATTTGGCATTGAAGACTGACAAGACCCACAACAGGCTTGACTCACAAAGCCCGCCTTACAGAAAATCCTAGTTGTTGTTTATTTGACTGTTAAAGCTTTTTTTTTTGACGTGCTGTCAGAATGGCTAATTCCAATGGTACCAACTTATACCCTATAGGGAATGTAAGCAATATTGCCGTTGCAAATTTTGTTGCTTAAGAAAGGGTGACATCTAGTGGCTAAATATATTATTTCAAATAAGTAGTTTTCAAATAACATTTATTTTCCTGGTTGAATCTTTCAATCCTTATCAAGTATTTTGAATCTTTCAATCCTTATCAAGTATTTTTAATATATATATATATTTAACATATACTTGATAAGGATTGAAAGATTATATATATTTAATATATACTTGATAAGGATTGAAAGATTATATATACATTTTTTTTTTCATTTGGCTCTATATTTATAGTACAGTAATTGTGTAGTCAAAGCCTTCAATAAAGAGTTAGAACAAGAGGAAGGTGGAAATTAGTGAGAGGTATTCTAGGTGCATGGTTAAACAGCATGCACACTTGTTCATCAAGGCTGGACAAGAAGGGCATTGTGGCCACCAGGTATAGAAAGTGGATCTCAGGATTTGTAACCCTGCACTGTAAAAGTGTAATGTTCAGTATATAATTTTGAAATATCTTTTAAATGATGTTTCCACTAACAACTGGTAAATTACATCTCTACCAAGATATTTCACTTCCTCTTTTGTTTTTGTTTAAATAGGCATGTTGGCCATTGTTCAAAACCAATGACCTAAGACCTTTTCCAAGAACATTTTGCCAATAAAGAGGATGAATAGAGGTCGGAGTCAATCCACTGCATTAAGCATCATAACTCAAGCTGTTAGTCTCAACCAGAATTTGACCTTTTCCTAGTTTATCATCCCTTTTTTCTCATTCCGGTGTCATATGCTAACCCTTATATGTAGCTAAGAATTATACTAAATTAAGACTACTCATGAGTAAATAGCATCTTGTTCTTTTTTTCCTTGAGGTCTGTCATCTATTTAGTCTGTAAAGTTAGTAATTATTGCTCTGAGAAATGAAAGAGAATACTTTCAGTTATAAAAAAAAATTGACAATAAAAATGTATCACTAAAAAAGTGCATACATACCTTTGAAATTGTCTTTTTACCTTGATAAATGTTGTATTTTCTGATACACTTTATATCAATACTGGCCCTTCTGATTTTTGTGACTTCAAATATTCCTGAATTCCATAAAGAGATTATTCTGTAAGGTCCAAAAACTACAATTCAGGTCCCACCATCTTTCCCCCACATTTTTATTTTAACATTTTTATTGATTTTAGAGAGAAAGGGAGAGGGAGAGAAATATAAAAATATCAATGGTGAGAGAGAATCATTGATTGGCTGCCTCCTGCACGCCACTACTGGGGATTTAGCCCACAATCTGGGCATGTGCCCTGATCAGGAATCAAACCATGACCTCCTGTTTCCTGGGTCAACTCTCAACCTCTGACACACTGTCAAGCTCCCCTCCTCCCTGCACCACATCCCTCTTTTTAGGAGATTCTAGCATGAATATAGGAATGGATCATATCAGCTATTAAGATCCCTTCTATCATTTACTCTTTGGCCCTGTCCAATGACATCACATATACCAAAGAAATGCTGTTCCTCACTTTTCATGCTAGTGTAACAAACTTTCCAATGTTCCCATGTACTAATTAGATCTCTTGAGATTCTCATTTCTCCTGGAATTTTCAAAAAGCTTTCTTGAGTGCCCAAGAATGGAGCTTAATGACAATTTTGATGAAAATGCTAGAATTTCAAACTATGCCAGCACTTTTCCATAATCATCTAGAGGTGTTTGATTGAAGGCTTTAAATAGAGATGACATTTTTCAAACTTCATTAAGAGCTTGAGTCATCTCCTTTATTGTAATAAGCAATTTGCAGGTTAAAAAGGCCGAGCCAAATTGGCTGGCTGACTTCAGTGTGTGGCGAGGGCAAATCTTAGAACTCAGAAAGGTATTATTATCATTTGGCAATTTGAAGGAAAAAAAAAAAAAGCACTACAAACAACATTCAGAAAAGCATAAGATAATATAAAAGTAAGCATCAAAATTTAAGAAAAAAAGATTTAATAAAAGATAAGCCTATGCCATGCTTGACCCAACTTTACAATTAAGGTTACATGGTGAGGAAATCGAAAGCACCTTTATTCGGGGCATGCTCACTGGATGTATGTGATTCCACATACTTCTCCAGGCAGCTGAAGAGTGCCATGGCCCCAAACTTCTCTATAATTTAAACCTTGCTTTGGATTCTCAGAGTTCCTTTCTGACTCACTAATGATCACATCCTTATCTGGTATCTGCATAAGTTCTCCTTGCTAAAGAGAGAACAAAGAAGTATAAGTGGCAGTAGCAAGGTGTGTGAATTCACAAGACGCCCAACCAGATACTTTCAATTGAGATAGGCCTGTATCAGGAAATTTTGAAGTGACAGTTTTCACAATCTCTAGTTGAAATATGACACACACTTCTCAGGACATCTGTTCTACCTATTTAGCCTATGATGGAGTTAGGTGTTCATTATTATCATGGAGGACTTCTCAGCCACAATTTCTTAACCTCTCAGCCACTCGGCAATCTCCTACGTCGTTGATGTTTACCTCACACAGGCCTAAGTTTCTAATGTACCATTTTCTCTTGCTTCTGTTCCAATGTGTGTGAT